ATACGTATTGAGTAATTAGTTCCTGTGGTTTATGTCTCTGTAGATTTTTTCTGACAGGATTTGATCACGTATGCAGTTTACCATTAAGTGGTTTTAATTTTCCTCATAAGCCTTAAGGGCAGAATGTGTTTTGTAAATTTGCCGACTGATTTTCCAGCGTCTTCTTTATCTCGCCGATACTGGCTAGCGTCAAAACAAATCAGTAAATTATGATATTCACGACCAAAAAAAAATACGCAAATGTAGCTATTCAGGTCCAGGCCTTTCTAAGAAAACCAAAGAAACTAACTTCCTTCTGTTGGGACCGTCACACACACCATTATGTAAGAATTAGACCAATCGTAACGCGCGTAAGAAACCCCTAAGAAATGCCCGCCTATCAGAAACGCTCACATATGCCCTTGCGATTCTGCTGGACATTAAAACGAGCTTTTGTGCGCTCATTCGCAGACCGACTATAACAATGGTTTACGCGATACCTGGGCCGGCTGCAGTGCAGGCTAAATTTCTATGGTTTTGCGTAGTCCTTAGTAGAGACCTTCAGATTCTAGGACGAGAACGACTACGAGTACGAGATTTGACTTAAAGTTTTTTCGCTAATTCTCAATTTATAGACACCTCGGAAAGCCGGAAAGCCGTTCATTGCACTTCTTTTTCACCAAAAAAATTAGCACTGTTATCTTTACTGAAGGAGCTTAAACCATCTCCCGGCCGCAAAATGATAAAAGCTCTAACGCTATAACTTGTTCCCGTTACCACGACACGCTAAAACTCGTAGTAGAATGACGACGGCAATTATGTTTTCCCGCCAAAATGACGTTGGTTCATGCGCGAGCACTACTTAGTATTGAGAAAATCTCGTAGTCGTACTCGTCTCAGAATGTAAAGCTATAGCACACAATTGGTTAAAAAATTTAATTCGCGCCTTTTTTGACACCGCAGGTATTGGCCACCAGCTGCAAATGTTTGCTTCAAGTATTAGTTCATTGGGTCGATTTGCCTTGTTCTTTTGTCTCTGTTAAATTGAACTTTCATTTTCGGTTTATGATGATACGTAATTAAATACAAGTTAAAACCCCACGCTAAAAACTGAGCGTCGCCAGCTATTGAATGTTTCCCTTGCTTGCTTCGTTTGCCAGCTTTGACTCACGTTGCTTCAGGTTACACCTCAGTTTAAAAGATATCATTGTAAGTTATGGGTTTATTGAGGCTGATTATTCTGCAATTGTCAATAAAAGACCGCTGTGATTTTTTTAAAATCAATATCATTTCTCTCAGACAAAAGTCTAATCTATGCGGACGCAAGCTCGCCTATTCTTTCGCCTGTGAGCCACATCTCGGCTTGCCCCAAGACTATGTGGCATCTTATATAAAGAAAACTGAGCATTCTTTGGTTTTAAAAGACCTAAATTTTGCTTGAACGCTCTATAGAGGCTGTTTGTGCAATCTGCAGTCCCTAATAAATGCGGCTGTGAAATAAAAAACGAGTTTCTTATTATAATTAGACAAAGGGCTGTCTGAAAGGAAAGCAATTGATTTAATGGTTCCTACTTCTTTTCAGCAGAATTCGGCTCCAGATATTCAGTTTGTTCTCTAACGCTCTAAGATTGGTAGAGTTAAAACAGTTCAGAGGAATTATCAGATCGTGTTTGTTACCAGATTTACGGCTAGAAAACTGCAGCGCAACCGAGTATGTTCAAAAACTTCGCCAAAAGCCTGCTGTATTGGTACATTTTTTTGTCTTGTGTGCGGAAATAATGAGAAAAAAAATGTTGTCTCAAGAGACAGATTGAAATTGCTTTTGTTCACACTGTCGGCCAGGCGGTGAAAGATCACGTACTCTTCAACTCTGTGGAAAAAGCCGTTATTTGCTCTTATCTACAGCCATAACTATACTTACTATTCCATCGATCGGGTACAATATTGAATCAAGTGCTCTGTTAAAAAAATGATCAGCTTTGGAAACAGTATAATCAGCTTTAGCCGACTCAATCTGCTTTCTTTCTTTCCCTTTTCTATTCTAACTTCTTTTTTTCTCGCCATTTTTGTTTCTTTTTTTGCTTTTAACCTCATCTATTTCCAAAACAAGTTATATAATTATTTTATCTTAATTGTTGTATATTTGTTTGAAGTCACATTCTTCCAAAGAAATGGCAATATTTAACAAGTTATTTAAAAACGTTTTATGAGAAACTTGTCTGTTAGGAAGTAATAAACAACTAATACTTGACAATATACTAAAAGAGATACACTGTTTTTGCTTCTTCGGATGTCCAAATCCTACACTAAAACTTTCTGGGCAAGACCTTTAAGGGGGCAAAAAGGTCTTCTGGATTTGGGTGTATAGAATCGTCAGACGTTACAAAACCTCAAATTCATTACATCGAGAAACGGAACAAAAACGGCGTAGATTAAGCTGCCATTTATACATCACTGGTCCATTGAACCCTTTTCGTTGTTTTGAAGCTTAATTCTACAATTCAAAAATTCTCATGGGCTTCTTCAGATATTAGCAACTAAGTCGTTTCAAGCGTAACCAACCCAACAACACTGATACTACGCCAAGAAAGTAATGGACTGGAAGTCACTAAACCCGTACAATTCTGGATAGTCCATAGCCTTCATATATGGATGACTGCTTACTTTGTCGGGTCAGAACAAAAACTACCAAAGAGGGGCAGGTAAATAGAACATATTTATTACAGGCTGAGCCTTTACGCAATGTTTGGTATAAAGCCGGTAATTGGAGCATGTATAACTCGTGCGTAAATGTAGCATGTGCCTAAGCAGCTGGTCTGTGTTCTCCCAGGCTCAAAAGTTTAATTGTGTTGCATGAAAAGACTTTTTAGCTACTAGAAGCATGAAATTCACAAAAATATAGCATTATTGGACAAGCAAAACGAGCTATAAAGTTGCGTGCTGCGGGGTTCAGTTTTTAACAGTGACTAGAACACAACATTTTATATCTCGCGGGGGCCGACTTGGATTTTAGAAATTTTGGCTAGTCGGGAAGTCAAAAAATGATTTGCTGACTTGAAATTAGGTAACTCTGCGTTGAAGCTGTGTGGAAGCCATGTCTAAGTAATAATATCTAACGCACAGAGGACTCGATTTTGCCTCTTTTAACTCTAGTCTGTGACTTGCATTCAGAAATCAATACCAACCGTGGTTCGTTATGATAAGCGAAATATTTGTGATTAAAAGGCAACGAAAAAAGAAAAAAAGTAAGATACTTCTTAGTAGGTTAGTGAAAAATAGACCTACAGGTAATCATGAAAGAAGACTGTGCTGAGACACCTCGACAAGATGACATATCGTACTGTCAAAATTTTACATTTTAAATTTTAATTTCAGCAGGGTTTCAAAGTTAACCAATTCAAAAGCGGAGCCGGAGAAAGAGGCGGCTCTTTTTATTGCAATAACAAGGGTCAGGCTACAAGAGCGTCTGAAGGCATGAGCTTCGCTGAGCATGGCTGAGCGCTCAGAGGCGTGAAATCCAAAAACAAGAGAGCTTAAGCAACTGCGACGGCAACGGTGGCGAAAACCTCGCTTATACTGAAGATGCATTTGCGCTGTTTCAAACTTCATCGCTCTTGTTCTATTCGTCAAACGTTAGCGAAGTTTTTCCGGAGTTGAGTTCTAAAGGTCTGTATCTAAATCTACTAAAAGGAAAAAATCATTGTCTTTTGTTCACGTTCTTCATAAAACGTGAAATTAGGGAGTTTTAACTTTTATGGCAGTTGTAGTCGTCTGTACCACAAGCGTGATGCACATGTAAAGTTTTTGTTTTGCTAAGCCAACGCTTTTCTGCGGCCTTTCTTGTTGCCGTCACCGTCGTCGTTGCTTGAGCTCCCCTGTGTTATTTAATATAATCGGTTTAAAATCTGACCCTTTTCAATGAAGAAGAAGCGGTTCGGAATCGCATGAACCTACCGTTCTGTTCTACCAGGAAACATGTTACGCCAGCGAAACAAGTGAATAATCACCCCTTGCATGTACTCAAATCAGATGCGAAATTATATATGAAGCTCTTTCAAAAGATTTTCACTAGTAAAATTTGGGTTTAAGGGTGGCAGTACCAAGGCTAAGAAGTTGTTAAGTGGAGAGTCCTCTTTAATCTCCCTTTCCTCGCCCAAAAGATCACATAAAGACCGTATTACAAGAGTCTATTTGTCAGTAAGTGTTTTCTTATTCTGATGAGGGGACGAATCTTCCTTCTGTTCTGTCTAAGCGGAAAAACTATTTTAATACGAAGATTTATTGAAAGTTCAGGAATCAAGTTGCAGTCAGATGGTTTTAAACAGTACGGACAAAGCATAAACTTCAAACATGCCAGGGGGTTAATAAATCCTGGCCTTATGACAACTTTGTTGGTGGGTCTTTAAGCCTATAGGTATTTTAAAGGGCAATATAGGTCTGTGGGCCTGAACATTTATTATATTCTAAACATTTGATTTATTGCCTAATCAAACACGTCCAACACTACATTACAGATACAGGGACTATGAGTTATTGGCGATATTGGTGTGGAATGAAAACAATGTCCACCCTGTTACTGATTAATTAGACAAATGTGAAGCTAATGAAAGCTACAATAGTTTGGTCCCTCAATATCGGGGCAAAACATAATGATTCCGGGACGGTGAGAACAATAGTAGTATAAACTGCTTTCTAGAACTGTTTGTCTGGTGACAGTCTTTTTACACTGCACTAAAATGGGCGCTTGCATCACATCAGACAAGCTTAACACATCTATTCTCTTTGGCTGTTAAACTTTGGACCAAGCTGAACTTGCCTAGTCTAAAGAATGCCAAGGTCAATGTGGTACTTTTATGTCCTTGCAAAATAGGCCATATTTAACACATAGGCTTTCTTCATGATTCCTTTCTTTTGTCCACAGAAGGTATTTAGACTAGGTATAGCTGCTGCTTTCTAGCCATCTGTGAAACAGCTGTGAAAAGGTGGACGGCAGTATAGTTTGGCCACCACGAGGAGCTCTGATGAAGATTCCATTGCAGAACACATCCACGCCTCAGCGTACCACCCAATCGTCTACCTACGAGCAGCAAGCTCGATCTTCAGATGAACTGTATATTTCGTTAGCGTACTATGCATTTCTAGTCATCTCCAGTGTCACTGGGAACGGTCTCGTCATCGGAGCATACGCTTCCAACAAGTGGCTTCGTACAGCACTCACCCACACCCTCATCATCGGCCTAGCCTGCGCAGACTCTCTCGTTGGAGTCGTATCGCTGCCGATTTGGATGTACATCACGTTCCGGGATCACAAACACATCCCGTTGAGTCCCCTCGCCTATCAGTTCTACATAACCGCAGATATTTTCATTGGAAGCGCTTCCATTTTCCAGCTGATGGGTATTAGTATTGAGCGGTCTCATGCTGTTCTTAGACCACTCCAGCATCGCTTGCTTGGCAGACGGATATTTTACATCGCAGTGGCCGCTGCTTGGATCTGCTCTGCCGCTCTAGCGTCTCTCCAACCGCTGCAATATGGCACTGATTGGCAGGTCGTCTATACGATTCTGATAGCAACGGTGTGCTTCTTTATTCCAACTGTGGTCATCGCGATTGCTTACTGCAGCATCTTCTTCTCCGCCAAGGGTAAAGCATCTCTGTCCAAGCATCAGACTCATAAGAAAACATTGGCCAAAGAGGTAGGGTTGATCTTAATTTTCTGTAGATGACTGTCGTCGATCGAGAGCTAAGCCAGGGGCCCATTTGCCGGAACGAGCAACATTCTATGTACTCGAGTAATGGAGTTTTTACCAAGCATTTTTTTATAGAACGATTTTGGCGCAAATTGAGAATATCTTTTAACTCCGACAAAGACGTTACTAGGAAATCCTACAGACCTAAAGTGGTATTTTTGACATTTAAATGGCTTTAAATGAGTCTTCCTTTTTGGTATCTTACACTTTTAATGCTCTCATAGACGGCGCGGAATTTCCATTTTCTCTGGAAAAGGTGCTCCAAAATGTATCTAAAAATAAACCTGTCCTTGAAAACGCTCTGACAAAGTCCTAGTATGGGCGTTGCTTTCTACAGGTTATGGTCTTCTGCTTAAGCACATAACTACTAGTATCCTCCAGTATTATCATGATGTGCAACCGTGTTGGTGTCAGCTTCTATGGCTTTCCTGTACTGATAAAGTATTTGGTAACTTCATTTGACACAGTTTGGATAGCTGGATTTACAAACCGCAAATAAGTTTATCTGACGGTCATGCCGTTATAATGCTAACACCGAATGTTCTCTGAACCTCTTGTCCTGTTTTTGATACGAGTTGTATTGATCTTTGCAAAACATTATACATATCGTCCACACGGGAATGTGACCTCAATGACTAACATCGGCCTAGGCCATTATTGATGCCTTTTGACTCATTTGGGCAGGAAAGGGCAGGGACACCTTATACAACACATCAATGTTTGTTCAGAGCACTAAATTAAAATGTCATTAACCTATTCTTTTTCTCTCTGTTTCTTCATGAAGGTTTCTTTATCCTTAACAGTGGCGATGATTACGCTGCTGTTTGTCATAACATGGCTACCGTTGTTCGCTTTGTCCATACTAGCCACGTTTAACCCCGAGGTCCTTCCTTGGCCATCCACCTCCACGCGTCTCCTGCACTTTGTCAAATGTATGCATTACAGTTCCAGTGCCATAAACCCTGTCCTGTACTCCTATCGAAACGTCGAACTTCGCAGGACCATTGGCGTGCTTTTACAGCGACTTGTGCTAAGGAGGGGACCAGGCGTGGATGAGGTCTTCAGAAGTCGTCGTTCAAGTAGCGTTGTCTCTGCTTCCCATTTTAGAAAGCTGAGCTCAGTCTCAGATCGTTGCCGCAAGCCCAGCGCAGAGAGCCAGTAACGAACCTAGGAGTCTTACTCTGGAATCGCTCTATCGTGGACGGTATCAAGGAAGTTAAATCGAGTTACCGCTTTTCCACACAATGGACAATATCACTATCAAACATTGCCAAGCGAAAACAAGCTTTAGGAGACACAAGTTTCGTTCACTTCTGTATTGACGGAAATTGAGATCGGACTAATAGTTTTCTAGCTTTTTCTTGAAGAGTAATTTATTCATTACTTCCATCTGGATCCCAGATGCTCACGTGCAACGATTTTGCACCAATTGTGCATGTTTTACTAATTCCAATTGCTAAGACCAGCTTTGTCATACATAGTATAACCGGACGTAAATCCCGCGAATTCTGTGATTATGACAGTTAGTTATGTTATTAGCTTATAGTTTTGAGTCAACCATGTTAGGTAAAACTCTGGCACCAAAAATTGGTATAACAGCCTTTTCTCTCGCGGAAGGGGGGAGGAGGTGGTGGAGCTTTACCCTATAATGGCTCACACTCACTGGTTGGCTCCACTTGAAAGGGCTAGCATTTTCAGGTTTCAGGTATATGAAAGGTAGCAATTTTACAAGAAGTTGAAGTATATGCAACAGTTGAGAATCTGTCATTGAAAGGGCCTCTATCTAAAATATCTACTGAGGAGAGATAAACACCTTTTCCGGTAATACTTGTGATTTCCCGTTATATGTATAGGTAATAGCATGATTTGTAGTGAAAAAATGTAGTGATATTTGTAAGAAATGCCATTCTTCAATGGGAGGTATACTAAATTGGTACCTTTTCAGTCAAAAATGGTACACAAAATTGTAAGGGGTTGGACCTCGGGCATGAGCCTCCGGGTATGAAATATGTTGAGTCGCCCCTACATCTGGAAACAAAATGCAATACCTATATTGACTAGTACACCTGGGAGAGTCGATGTCCATATAAAAGTGAGTTTACTTTCATGCTATTAATACTGTTTGCTGACAGAGTCACGATTTTTAGCTGTTTTTCTTTTCTTATCCATTTGTCCCACATTTACCTGTGAGGGATGTCTTTCTGACGTTCCTTGGGGAGCAGGAGGGGGAGGGGGAGGGGATACTATTCAGAGCATTCGCTTACAAGTTTTCCAAACAATTAAAAGAACTTCAGATATCCACCCCTGCCCACTCTCAGCCTCTTGTCCCTAAGCTAATTAAAAGAAAAAGCACCAACTAAAGGCTTCCTCTACAAAGTTAGGATTGAGAAGCTTAAAGGAGAAAGCCCTTTTCGTTAGATTCGCCTGCGTACCTACGGTTGAGCTGAGTAGTTGGAATTGTCGACTACGTTACGTTTTCAAAATGCATGTAAGATAACTCTTAGAGTCACCTCAGTGATAAAGCGATTTTAAAAGTAAACTACTGATAAACCAAATAAACTATTGACCTTTCTTGAATATTAGCGTGCTTGTTTTTCGCAAACAAAATGCCTGTCATTGCAAATAAACTATATGTGAAACTAATAAACGGATTTTGCAAGTTCTGTTTGACTGTTTTAGTTCCACGCCGCGATTAACTCTTCTGGCCTCCTCGCAAATCAGCGAAATTTGTTCTTTAAAATAGTACTTCTGTGACGTATCTTTTTCTCAGGGCACAGCTTTTCTAGAAGTTTGTAAAATATGGCAGCTATGTTCAGGTTAAATCTCGCCGAAGTAGAAAGCCACTGACACTCCCAGAGTGACTCTAGGTAATCACAGGCGCTGATTTCAATACCGCGCGCATCAGCAAACGTTGGTTCGGACAAATTTGGGAGGTCGGCTTTGTTAGAGACTATGATAACGGGAATCCTACGATTACTGTCAGCACAGCATTTTTGGATCTCATCCAAGTATATTTCGAGCTTTGTAAACGATTTAGGTCTGTCTACGGAATACACCAGAACCACTGCATCGGCTTTTTGAATCGCTATTCTTCTCATAGCAGGAAACTCGTACGATCCAGATGAATCAATGATGTCAAATTCATAGGTCTTGTTCCTGTAGATCATTTGCGTTGCATAAAATTCCTCCACAGTTGGTATATGCTCTTGAATGTAACCTTCACCTACAAGATTTCGAATGATCGAACTTTTACCGACGCCAGAATCTCCAAAAAAGGCTACAGTAAATTTCATGTGTTTTTCTGCCTTTTCAAGGGAGGATGTCTTTCTCTTGAATGACAAATTTGGCCTGGCGCGTAACAGAGACATTGCTAAACCATCCCAAACAATCGATCCGGAGATAGTTCAATGCTCAATCTCTGCACGACTTTACTGTTCTCGATGCTAATCGCACACATTTCAACTTCCGTGACGTCTCATGCGAGGTCATTAATCCCAGATTAAATATGGCATTTCAAATTCTCGTCATTCAAGTCTCTGTTTATATTGCAGTGGTTCCAAAAGCTATCTTTTGTGACAGTGACCAGTAGCGTAGTGACTTTACACAGCAGTAAGGAGAGAGGAATACAAAAACCTTCTTAGCCATTGAACGCCAGTTAGATCGCGGATGTCGGTACTTGATTGACCAACTACCCACGCCACCCTACCACCCAATGTTTGAATTTTCGTTCGTAACACGTTACTAGTCCCAGAAAGGGGCCAGAGATAAAGTTAGACAAAAAAAAATCAAATTTCATTGTGTACAAATGTCTTGCACCAGGTGATGAGCTCCTGCTTACCCTCTCTGATCCTCTGCAGATGAAAGCGCGCAAGGAACGATGGGAAGGGGAAAGCTCGTTAAACAGTAGGGAGTTTAAGGTAACTCCCTTGAAAAGGATGTACTATCCAATTGTCAGCCATGTATAGGACATTCAAAAACTGCAATAAAAAGATAGGTTATCGTGCTCGTTTTCGCCTTGTGTGCCCATAATTCTGAGTGTTTTTTCCTAGCTTCGTGCGAAATGTTCAAAACTTAAACAACTGTCAAAAACCATGAATCTTACTTAAAACCTAAGACTCGTTTGTTTCTCTGGGCTATAATATTTCAGTACTATAATCTCAAATTACCCGATCTTGAAAAAATGGAGAGAAATGGACAGTTTAATTTTAACTTTTTCCCATACTTCTCTGTGGCTCTTAATACGGAATTTCACGTCATTCATCTCCAAAAATTTAAACCTTCTACTATCCAGATTTTTTTCATCTTTGGATATAGTTTTTGTCCGGCCATAACGAGTAAAAAACACCATTAAAAGGGGTGTGGTCACCGTCTTCGTTTCACCCCCAAAAGGACAACAAAGGGACAATTTCGTCTTCAAATGAGGATTGTGTGCGAAGGGACTGGGGCGAGCTTTAAGACAAACACCTTTTAGCCCAGTAGAGTTATCAAAATCGTTATTTAAAGGATTTGGAGTACAAAAGGGGCCTTCGTTAACTCTTTTAGGTGACCCGACCGATGAAAACCATCGCCACCTTTGAGGTTGCAATGCTATGCGCAGTAGGTGATGCGCAGTGCAAAACAAAGGAATTACCTTAACGTTTTTATGCGACGCACGTCAACCGGAAGTGGACGTTTTGCACTCTTCAGCCGTGATTTTGAACAAATTCTTGGGCAAAACGTCTGTTTAAGAGTAAAGACACTTACAATATAAATTTGGTAGCGTCAAGATATCAGTTAAAAGAGAAAAACGCCCACTTCCGGTTGACGTGCGAGTATCATGTGAAAATGCCGCTAAAGGGGATTTCATTTGAATGAAAACATCAAATGATTTCGTCCACAAAAGACTCAAAAGTTATAACTATTAACTGATACTCAATAAATGTACTAAGAGAAGGTACTGATGGTCACACCATAGGGTTTCGTCCAAACACTCAAAAGTTAGAAGTATACTCAGTAAATAGTACCATACAATAGTACTGCTCAAGAGAGTTCATTTCAATAGTCACACCAAAGGATTTCATCCACAGACTTAAATAAAAGAAAGGATGATCTAAACCACCAAAGAACATTGGCGAAGGAACCCGCAACGGAATGATCACCCTCGTCTCTGCACGCTAACGCCGACTAACTCATGACACACTGCGCACTTCTCAATTGCTCCACTCCTCTACTTTTTGCCGGTACATAGTAATTTCTGCAAAACAGTGATTATCACAAATGACATTATGCAATGTATACTGTTGGGATCTATAATCATTTTTGTCAGTTAGACACAAGTGGCGAAACCTTTGAAAACTAATTCTCTTTTTATTATTAATGGGTCCACGAGTGGACCAACAAAAATTGCAAAGCCGACTGTATTTCAAGTCGTCTTGCGGGGTATTGGGAAAAGTTTTCAATCAGCAATAACCGCGCCTCGGATAAACCTCACTGGCTACGGTAATGCCACTGCGCAAAGCTAATGGTCATGTGTTATTAAAGACGTTTTTAAGCAACAAGTATTGACATCATTGTGGGACGCGGTCACCTTTCAACAGACTTTCGTCAACCTGTGACCTTTGACGTATTTTACTACTTCTTAGAAGTGAAACACAAAAGCAGCACGGTAATTATTTCGCTTCGTTTATTCAAACAAGGTGGTTTTGCTTACTCTTGAATTACCGAGATTTCACGGACACGCATCAGTTATAGCTGGTAGAGAGTTACCAGCGCATGCGCATTATATTGTCACTGAGGCATAAAGCTTGGAAAATGCAATGAGGGTAAGCAGTGACCGCGGTCAGGTTAATTTATGTGGTGAACTGTCCGTACCTATCGTCACAGCGGGCGCCGAATGCGGCGCGATGCTCTTGAAGTTTTTCACTGCATAGTTACTTAAGGTTTTAGACTGCACTACTAAAGGGGGAGAGATTCACAGCTCTCACCACAATACTACCATGTTAATCAGCCTTCTGAAAGTTTAATTTTTTTATTAAAAATTGCAAATTGTTGTTTGCGAGAGGCTAAAAGCGCGCATCGGCTCTCTCGCTCGTTCCTCACACACTTAGCGAAAGAAAGATCGTTCTCACATTCGCTTTTAATGTAGGCATGCGGAATAGCAAAAATATAAAAGGAAACGATTTTTACCTCTTTTTACCTTTTGAAGAGCGCCAGGAGGTGCGGAAGGATTCTCTTCGGTAATTTCAGGAGACGCCGAGGCATTTGACATCGGCGCCTGGCTGAGGAGCTTGAACTTCCTCAAAAGGAGGCAATTAGCTTGAACGATGCGACTGTTTGCACGAGGTGATAATTCAATGTGGCAAACCCTTGAATATTGCTATGCGTGAGACCGCTGTAAATGGTAAGTCGAACGAGTGGCTATTTATTTGAAGGATAATTTCATTATAACTATTATTGAGGTCCACGTGTGGACCGACAAAAATTGCAAAGCCGACTGTATTTCGAGTCGTCTTGCGGGGTATTGGGAAAAGTTTTCAATCAGCAATAACCGCGCCTCGGATGAACCTCACTGGCTACGGTAATGCCACTGCGCAAAGCTAATGATCATGTGTTATTAAAGACGTTTTTAAACAACAAGTATTGACATCATTGTGGGACGCGGTCGCCTTTCATCAGACTTTCGTCAACCTGTGACCTTTGACGTATTTTACTACTTCTTAGAAGTGAAACACAAAAGCAGCACGGTAATTATTTCGCTTCGTTTATTCAAACAAGGTGGTTTTGCTTACTCTTGAATTACCGAGATTTCACGGACACGCATCAGTTATAGCTGTGGTAGAGAGTTACCAGAGCATGCGCATTATATTGTCACTGAGGCATAAAGCTTGGAAAATGCAATGAGGGCAAGCAGTGACCGCGGTCAGGTCAATTCATGTGGTGAACTGTCCGTACCTATCGTCACAGCGGGCGCCCAATGCGGCACGATGCTCTTGAAGTTTTTCACTGCATAGTTACTTAAGGTTTTAGACTGCACTACTAAAGGGGGAGAGATTCACAGCTCTCACCACAAAACTACAATGTTAATCAGCCTTCTGAAAGTTTAATTTTTTTATTAAAAATTGCAAATTGTTGTTTGCAAGAGGCTAAAAGCGCGCATGGGCTCGCTCGCTCGTTCCTCACATACTTAGCGAAACAAAGATCGTTCTCACAGTCGCTTTTAATGTAGGCATGCGGAATAGCAAAAAATATAACAGGAAACGATTTTTACCTCTTTTTACCTTGTGAAGGGCGCCAGGAGGTGCGGAAGGATTCTCTTGGGTAATTTCAGGAGACGCCGAAGCATTTGACATCGGAGACTGGCTGAGGAGCTTGAACTTCCTCAAAAGGAGGCAATTAGCTTGAACGATGCGACTGCTTGCACGAGGTGATAATTCAATGTGGCAAACCCTTGAATATCGCTATGCGTAAGACCGCTTTAAATAGTAAGTCGAACAAGAGGCTATTTATTTGAAGTATAATTTTCATTATAATTATTATTGAGGTCCACGTGTGGACCGACAAAAATTGCAAAGCCGACTGTATTTCGAGTCGTCTTGCGGGGTATTGGGAAAAGTTTTCAATCAGCAATAACCGCGCCTCGGATGAACCTCACTGGCTACGGTAATGCCACTGCGCAAAGCTAATCATCTAGTATTACTAAAGACGTTTTTAAGTAACAATTGATGACATCACTGTGGGACGCGCTCACTGTTGATGAGTCCATCATCAGCCTGCGACCTTTGACAATTTCAAAGTTTTAGAAGCAAAACACTACGACGGCACGGTAATTATTTTACCTCGTTTCCAACAAGTTAATTTTGCATACTTTTGAATTGCCGAGTTCTCACGAACATACGTAAGACACAGTTGAAATTACAAGCGCATGCGCATTATCTTATCGCTTAGACATATAGCTTGGAAATTGTGACAAGCAGCGCTGACAACTTTGCAGTAACCTTTAGTTCAAACCCATAAAACTTTCTCTGCTAAACTCCCCAAGAGTTTCGCAAAACATCTAAACTCATGAAAAATTCAGCTTTTATAGATATGTTACCCAACTGCTCATAGGGCAATTTTTCACGTCTGACCGCATTCATGTCGATTATCGTGGTGAACTTTTCTTTTGAGCGTTCGCCGAATGCGGCGCGGTGCTCTTGAAGTTCTTGATTGTATGGTAACTTAAAGATGAGACGTCATCACTGACAATGCTTTTAGTTCTCGCGCGCGTTCTTCACTTACTTTGTAAAAGAAAGTTTGTTCTCATACTCTCTTTAGAACATTTTATTCACAGACACGTTTCTCGAGGCACTGCCAATTTCTTCTCTCTTGACCACGTTATGCGATAAATATA